TTCTTGTTGAAGACAAGTTAAAACTGCTGTTCAAGTGTCTCATATAATTATAACCATAAAACTAGTAAACATTTGAACTAATTTTTTCCCTATTTAGATATGCTTATTCACTCTTTGGCAAGCCCCAGATTGGGTTACTCAAGTAATCCCATTTTTGTAACTGAGCCAGTATCATCATTATCAAAATTACAATTGATCTACAGTTTAGTGTGATAAAGGATGACTGGTATGTAGCACATTCTGATTTCTCTCATTTTGCATTAGATCCATTGCATAATGGAACTCTAGGAATTGCCTGCTAATGCTTTACTTCACCTTTTAACAATTAAGTTTGGTGATCTTGGGTAGAGTAACATTCAGTAGACTCTATGCATATTGTTTTCTATAACCGTCTTTGGATGTAATTTTGGGGAGTGGGAGGGCTGGAATACACACACAGAAACACATACACATATTTGTAATTTGTTAAGAGGGAGTTATTATTAAACATCTAAATTGACACTATCTTATGGTGGGTTCTTCTGGATCTGAACCTAGACAAGTGAGTTAACAACATCTTTGATCCTCTTTAGCTTTTACTTTTGTAAAATGAAGGGGTTGGATCAAATAAGGGTGGGAGGTTGTTTGTTTGTTTGTTTTTAGCTTTTGGTGTTTTTTTTGTTTTTTTTGCTCATGCTGCAGTATTCCTAGAAGTCACTGAGCACCTAGTGAGGCAAACAAGAAGCAGCTCTAGCTCCTTCCTTGTACTTCAACAACAGTAGTTCTGTTTTGTTTTGTTAATCATCCCAATTAAGACTTCCAATTTCTGATGCCTTTTCACCCATTTATCAGTAGTAGGGGTCATTGTATTTTGTATTCTGTTTTTGGCTTCATAGTGAGTGACAGCTTGTACAAACAACACAGATACTGGAATAATCAATCTTTTCTTCAATGTCTGTAATAACATGAACTGTAAAGTATTAATCATGTGTTTATGCCTGGTTTCTACATGAGAATCAGTTAAGCCTATTCTTAATTTCTCTCTTTGTCAGCTTCAAAGCAGGAAATTACATTGTTGCCCCAAACCTCTGGAATTCTGTTGATTTTGTTTAAGAGGTGCAAATCTAGTAAAGCCTCAACAGTGGCCTGTTGCCAGACTGATAGCTGTATTTGTCAGCGTAGATTGTATTTCCACAGCTGTCTGGTGAGATGGTTGCTTCCTATATAAAGTGGTTCTAGAGTCATGCACGTGCTTGGGATTTTAATTTATCAGATTTTTTAGTACTTCCTACTTAGAGCTTCAAACTATCGGGACTATAATGTGTGCCATTCTGAAAGGTGGTATTTCAGCTTTTTAGCTTTGGGGAGAACATGTTGTGAATGAAATTGGTGTTTTAAGTAGAGCTCCTGGGGAAGTTTTTGCCCAGTCCTTTTGATATCCCATGTGCTCCATTGTAATAAGAAAGCAGAATAAATAAACTAAACTAGGTGGTCAGGATTCTCTTAGGATGAAAAGAAGTATAATTTCCTTTATAATGATGAAAAGCAAACAAAAACCCTGCACAAATTGTTTTAATCAATGTTTAAAGACTAGTTTCCCAGACTCTTGTGTGTTTAACAGATAGTCTTGGGTGCGGTAGAAATGGAGTGGAAAAACAAACAATTACTGTGTAGATAATAAAAATTACTGGGCAGAAAGAAAAAAAAAGTATTTGAAACACTGTTTTTTTTTGAGCTGGAGTCTCACTGTGTTGCCCAGGCTGGAGTGCAGTGGCGCAGCCTCGGCTCACTGCTGCCTCCACCGCCCGGGTTCAAGCAATTCTTCTGCCTCAGCCTCCTGGCTCATGATTGATGTGAGTTACCTCTCCCAGCATTTTTTCATTTGTATTTTGAGAAAAACATGTATTAATGTGGTATTGACAACTGCCATGATCATTTTTCATTTAGGCTAATTATCCCAAGAAAGGGGTTCCTGTATCGTATTCATTTTTTGTTTTAATACTTTAATAGTGGATATTTATAGCTATAGAAATTTGATACTTTTAATTGAAAAATTTAAAACTAGGTTCAAATGAAAGAAAAAAATTCTCATAAATTTAAAAAAGTAACCATTTTTTTAGGTTATTGGAAATCAATTCTCCATATTTGACACTATGAAATTAGCTTCAGATAACCATTTTCTTCATTTTGTGTTCATGTTGTTTTCACTTTATAAACAGTAAAACTCCATCTCCTTGCGTGAACTTATTTTAGGGGGAAGAAAAAGTACAATACACAAATTCATTATCTTGTAATAGCTCATTTTAGTTTTACATTGAATCAGTCTTTGAGACAATAACTCTAACTTGATTTTTACTTCCTTCCACTGGTAATAAAGGAGACATTTTATTTCAGGGAAATATGAATTAAAATAGTCTTGTTTCATAAGCATGCTCAGAGAAGAGATTTTTAAATCTTATTTTAGAAACAGTGGCATCATCTTCATGAACTTCAAGTTTTCCTCTTTCCTTTTCTTCTTTTCCTTTCTGTGTGAAACTCTAGGATTAATAGGAAGCATGTCCAGAATTCCCTCTAGGAATAAATTTAGATAGGGACATAAATATATTTTATGCATTCTTTCTAAGCATTTCCAAATAAGCTTTAAGAGTTTCTTAAGTAATCTTTGATTTTATAGAAAGAAAAATGGTCAAAGTTTGCTTTCTTCAGATACTTTGGTAAACAAATACCTCTTGTATTAATGAAGAAATTGACTGAATCTACCAATTATCTCACTATTAGAAAGCATGTCTTGAAAATTTATTAGATGCAGGCCAAACCATTAAACTCAGATCTTGCCTTTAAGAAGCTTTCAATTAATTGGGATATACCTCAATTTATTGGATATAATGAAATAGAAACTAAATGATAATTATTAACTTTTGACACACAAAATCATTTCACTTCTGTAAAATAGAAGTAACATGAATCCAACTGACCAATGAACGTTAGATAACCAGTTATTGGAGTGCTTTGTGGAGGGAAAGTGCTACTAGAAATAATGAAGTTTCATCTTTACTTGCATATTTTTATATCACTTTTACTGAAGAAAATTGCCTTGACATTTTTGCTAATAAATTCAAATTTTTTGTTATTTTTTAAATAATAGAAATGTATAAAATAGACAAATTTGATGGATTCCTTGGAAAAATCATTATTGCATTTATAGTTATTGGAACTTCTTTGAATATGATTAAGCAGATTAAATCAAGATTAAATTAAGATTCTATTACATGGATGGTAATACATATGGGATTACCTTAAAACTGATATGTGCTATGTAGAATGCCACAATTTTGTAAAGTAGTTCTATAGTGAAGTTAAAATATTACTGGATATGCTTATGTAAAATACATGAGCACACATTTGACATAAACTAACTTGATGATTGGCCAGAACTAGAATTCCAATTCCTACACCTACCCATCCACCCACATCTATTGGACAAGTGCCTGGTTAAACAGATGGGCCTTGGGCTGTGCTCTCAAAACAGGCAACCTCCACCTTTATTGAGCAAAACATTGGATGAAAATAGACTATATTGTCTTATTGTGCTACTGAGCGTGATAATTTAAGTGAAGAGCTCCTATTTATTATTGTTGTTGGTTGTTAAAAATATCTTTTTCCTTATGAATGAATATGTGAAAATTGGAGGACAACAGATGGAGTCCCAGGGAACTGGAGAACCTATAGATAGGGAGGTAGTTCTCAGTCAAATATAAAAATAAAAAATCAGCAGGAGTGTGAAATTTCATGTGGTTTTATAAATGCATGTAGCTAAGATTTTAGAAAATGTTTGGTTTAGCCTACAGACATGGGTTGATCATGAAATTTCTCTTTTCCACTAAAGGGTGTGAGACCAAGTGGAATTCTCAACGTCTTTCCTCAGGCCCCTTCAACAAGTTACCACTTCAAAAGCTACAAAGCTGGATTCAGGGCAGGACCTTAAGTTTTGGCTACTGTCTGTGTAAATACCACACACTTAACAGACCTGAGTGATAGGGCAGTGGATGACTTTATGACATCAGAAGTGAGTTTTGTTTATGGTCCATTAATGACATTGCTTCTTGGACCATGTTTGTGACAAAAGCGCTGAGGGCAATTAGCAAGAGCAACAGTTAGTCCCTGTGTTTACAAAGAAGTGGAGCTTGGTTGCTACCTACTTTCCTTGTATTACTGCTGGGCTATTTTATAGGGGCATGAAATAATTCCTGTGATACTTAAGAACTCTATGGATTAAAACTCAGTGTAGTGTATATTGAATTATGCTTTCTGGTTATTGTATTTGGATAAATTTATGCGTAAGGTTGTTTAATACTTCAGCAGAAACCTGCAGTGGAATTTCCTGAATATTTGACCTTTTCAAAGAAATCCAAATGGAATTGTTTTATACTTATTTAGCTCCTATAAATGTGTGTGCTGGGTTAATGAATAAATAGGTAAGAAATAGCACAGCATTGTTTAACATTTCTTTCTTTCCTCAAAATAAAAAGTTAATAGAAAACATAGTAAATTGTTATTATTTAGGAGTTATTTCTTACTGCAAAATGTTTTGTGATAGTTTTGTTCTATTGTATTTAACTTAATTTAAATTACCATAATACTTTTTTGTTACATTGTCCTTTGAAATCATTGAAATTGGCTAAATAATATTGTTCTATTCTACTTGATAAAATGGAGAACTCAGAAGATTAATTTAGATACAGAACTGAGAATAAAACAATCTCAATATGTGCTTAATTTTATTAGAAGGAAATATATTATAAAAGCCATTTGAAGAGAAAAAAGATAAAAATAGTAAAATATTTTAACTTTCATACTGTCATAAAATAGTAATACAGCCCATCTTTAAATAAAAGTAAATATTTTGTGTTTATGAATGTATATGAGACATATGATCATTATCAGCTTAATCTTGAACTACTCTGATATGCTATATTTCTTATACATATTATTTAATGTCTCTTGTGTTTTGTTTTAAACAGCAAATGCCAGTCTTCTTGGAGGAGGGGGTGGTAAGTACTTGAACATCACTTAACATAAAATACATTTTTATTACTATACCAACTACAAGATATTTAGTAAGTTCTGTGACACTTAAAAGAAAATTAATTTTGTTGTAGTCATCAACCATAAAAATGATAATCTTCCAAAAATAATTTATAATATAAATACCTTGGTTTGCTTAAATGTTATTTTAATTGATTTCAAGATATATACAGTAACTTTTCTTCTTGTCAGACTTTGTATTTCTACTTTTGGCTATAAGCTATGTGAACATACACGCAATACATGTGTATACATAGTATTACATATACATAGTAATAGTACAGAGTGACTTTTAATATGAATTCTCAAACATTTGGAGGCTGTGGTTTCTTTTTCCACTATAATGACTTTCTTTTGCTTTTCATGACTTTGTAGCCTGAGAGCTTAATATATCAGCCACTTACTTTGAAAAATAAAAAAGAAATTACTGTTGACACTTTGCTCTTTCTTTCTGCTCACAGGAGAAAGAGAAGGAGATCAAAGTGAGATGAGGGAGACAGAGATTACTGTACTGGGAATTTTTTTGATACTAAAATCTTGTTAACTATTTGTATTTTTATTTCTAGGTTAGAAAGATGAAAGCTTTCATAGTCCCAGTATATATAATATAGTAGGGGAGAAAAAAGTATACAATTAGAACAGAGTCCTTTTCATATAAGGCCAAGATGGACATAACTAGGTTTGTTTTCTCTTTCCCTCTCACTCTGTTTCTTCCCTCCTCTCTTGCTCTTTTTTCTTACACATAGTTGAAATAGGATTCTGCAGAGCCTTAGGCTTCCATCAGGAGGTTTCGTTGTATTTTCACTTGGAAATTAAACATTTAACCTTTGTTTCTTTGTAAGAACAATTATTTTTAAAAAACAGAATCTTGGAAATAAGAAAAATAGAAAAGGGTTTGAACTAGAAAGTGCTCTTCATATTCTCACATGTCAGTCCATGTTCTATACCAGAGTGTCATGAAAAGAGTATAGAATTTGAAATTGGACTTACTGTGTGAAGACCATGAAAGCATTAATATCCACAAGCCTCAGTTACCTAATCTTTAAAGTATGGGGATAATATTAACTATCTAAAGTGTTGATTGGGAGAATTAAAAAGTATCTGCTAAGTAACGGAATAGTGGAAGATTCATCATGTCTACTTCTTTTCTTTTTTCCTAAGTTATTTTAGAAAACACAAATTTGTAGGATGTTTCATTGTACTGGTTATTGTATTTGGGGGAATTAGAAGGGAAAATTTTCCTTAGGAGTTGAATTTCCAGTAATTTCTTCTCTCTGTCTCTTATGTGAAGAAAACATTCTTAAGATAAATTGTCCATAGTGCTGATTTTCTTACAAGATATATTAATATTTTATGAAACCTCACAAAAACTGTAAATAGCATAGAAAAAAGTTAAAATTGAGTCTATGTAAACATAGTCATCAAGTAAAAACAAATTAGGTAGACAATTCAGTTATTACTTTTGAGTATTTCGAAAAATTGACTATATTAGTTAAAATCACTTTAGCTGCTATAACAGAAAAAGTAAAAAACATTAAAATCCAAAATAACAGTACTTTAAAGGCGCTAGAAATGTATTTCTGTCTCATGTTAAAATAGTCTAGATACATGCTGGAATGATTGTATGGTGCTTCTGTGGTGTCATCAGAGACTCAGCTCTCACTTTTCTGTTCTTTCCTATTGCATGGCTTCCATACTAAGATGACCTCAGGGTGCAGAATGGCTGCTGGACCTCTAGCCATCATAAATATGGTACAGGTCAGAAGTAGGAAAGGCAAAACATGAAAAAATGTGGGCTTCCACACACGAGTCAGTTTTCTTTAAGCAGATTTCCCTGGAAATATTTATATCTAGCATGTAATCTTTTACGATATTTATTCCTAGCATGTAATCTTTTATTCCAAGAAGCAATACACTCATCAGAAAAAAAAATACTGTTGTGTTTACTAAGGAGGAAGGGGAGAGTGGAGGTTGAAGAACACAATGTAATGTACCTGCCATGGTAGTTACCTTCTATATTGTCAAACCGCTTTCTTTAAATATATATATGTATACTTGGTGTGTGTAGAATTAACTCTAGTAATTAGGCTCGTATTGTTCTTTGATTTCTCTCTCCTCTCTGAGAAGATTTATGAATTTTTAGCAATGATAAAACATTCAGGAATAGGCCAACTCAGTTTTCTATTTCGTTAAAGTCTTTACTTTAATGTCTTCCTCTAGATGGTTGATTTTGTTCAATTTGTCATGATTTATAATTTTTGAATAATAAAATTAGCAACTCAGCATCATCCTAAAGATAAACTACAAGTATTTAAGATGGTTGTAATTTCTTTCATTAAAGTAGGTCATTGACAGGTTTAAATTTATTTATGCACTTCTGGAGATGTCAAGATTGCTCTAAAATACATGTCTGATTTTTGGAAAGCTGCATTTAAAAATTAAATTTAAGGAATATTTTTAGCCTTCTCTGAGCTTATTTTTGACCTTCTGATTCTATGATAAATCTTTTTAATCCTCTCAGTGATATTTGTAAAGTAATAGCTAGTAATCATCCAATAAGGAGCAATTGAATCGATGTAATTCTCTTGGATTTAATCAACAATTCCTTTTTTCAACATGAATTAATATCCCTTCAAAGGTACCTGAAAAGAATAATGTTTTAATTGACTAAACAATTTGATAAGAATATTTGACACCACATACAAAAATTATAATGGGACCTAAGTGCCATTCTTTAGGTCCTCAGGAGGGCTTCCCCCAAATTCTGTATAAGTAGTACTTGATTGTGAAATGCAGACAAAATTGTTGTATGCAAAATTGTATTAGCCATAAAATTTTAGCATTTTTTTGTTCTTTTCTGAGTGCTTACCACCAATAAGACAGATCCCCTGAAAGACTTAAAAAATGGTCACATGTCATCCTCTCAGTACTGATTTTAAAGTGAGAGATTTACTTTACATTGATGCGAATTTTCATCTTTGAGCTAGAAATTAATCTTTCTATGAAAGTATTGTCACTGACTGCAGTTCATTGTAATGAGCATAGATGATGTGATTATTTTACTCTGTCATTTCAGTTAAAATTTTGTAAGTTTTACCAATTTATTTGGTAAAATTAATCATTTCTGTTTATATTTTCTAGATAGGTTAAGGGCAGAGACAGATATGTACTAATTTCTTAAGTTAATATAGACTGGTCTATAGTGACCAAATTGTATGTTTCAGGAAGCATTTACATGAATGTTAAAAACCTTTGAATGTTAAAAATCTGTTAATTTTTTAATGAACTTTCCATTATTATTACCAACAGTATCCTGTATATTATTTTACCTGTTCTTATTTTAATAGCTGAGAGAAACTTCTTCAGGGTTGCAGGGCTTATAGGGCAAAGTTGGAATGAGAAGAAAGTGTTCTTGACTGCCACTCTAGGGCTCCTTGCCCTGACACTGTGGTTTTTAATATGCCTCTGCTGCAGGTGGGTAACAAGTGGGTAACTCTGTTTACACCAGGAAAAGAGCAACAGTGGGTAACTCTGTTTACACCAGGAAAAATAAATAAGAGGGCAGGAAAACATACAGTTAAGATATGGATGTTGCATTCCTTGGCTTATTTTCACAAGTTTCAAGATCTATTGATAGCTTGAAAGTGAATACAATGGCACTGTCTTACAGTACTCTTGGATTGCTGCCCAGATTCATATACTTTTTTGTGCATTTGAGATTCAGTCTTAGAAGACATTGCATTTTAGATTCATGCTCACCCATCTGTAATAAGAATGTTGTACATGCACAATGTCTTATGATGCTGGTACTTTTGGAATATATAGTAAAATATAAGTCATTGTAGCCAGTCTTAAATTATATAAAGAAGTAGAATTAGAAAGAAAAATCAGAACTAAAGAACTAATGCCTCACTTCCTTTTGGATCATTACATAATAGGAACAACATTTACAATCTCTTGCTTTAGATAGTATCTTTTCTTTTTCATTGACATAATAGTTAACACAAAGCCAGAACCTGCTGATAGAACCCAAGCAGGATATTGTTTATGGGATGTGCTTCTTCTTCCAGTCTGTCAGAGCACCTGAGGGATAATGCTAAACATTTTAAGTGATGGTTCCTGACAGGGTGGTGACTTACTGCCTTTTGTACACATAGCTTTATGACTGCCATTTGAATCATGTATACATATACACATAGATAAAATAAACATATACATTTGTATCAATATTGTAATTTGATACCTTATTCCTGAGTTGATTCTGTGGCAAGTTTATAGATAAGTACTATTATCTAATAAGCAAGTGCTGTTATCTATGCAGTCAGCCCAGCTGCAATGCATGCAAAGCCATTTGTCCAATGTGAGAACAGAGGGCACATTATGAGCCTCCCCACCTCTGATGGCTTCCTGCTCTCCTTCTGCCCCTTAGAGTAGGCCCCAAGATGGACAAGGTTCAGTGCCTGTGTTAGTAGCTGCTCCTCTAATCTCCTTCCTTTCTTATTTGGACAGTTCTACTTGCAAAGAGGATTCATAATGCTTGCCTGTTAGTATTGTAAGCAGTTAGTGTGACGTACCAAAATGCATGCTTGAAAAAGAGTAAAATTATAACTTGGGTGATAGGTGCACCAAAATCTCAGACTTCGCGATTCCACAATTCATCCATGTAACCACAAAACACTTGTACCCCAAAAGCTATTGAAATTTTTTAAAAAAGGAAGAAAAAAAAGAGGAGTGAAGTCACAAACCATGTGCTGTTATATAATGGTATTTGTGCATCTCCATACACCCATCATCTGTTTCTAAACATAGACACACATATGTGTACACACTCACTCAGCAAAGATTGAGTTACTATTGTGTGTCAGCATTGATTATTGATTGGGCAATAAATACCACCTTTTCCCTGTGGCCAGTCATGGTCCCTGCTCAGCTGAATTGTTAGAGCAATTATAGTTGTCTACATTCT